TCTTTCTTGAGGAGCTACTGGTTGACTCATAATAGACAGTATAATGACTAGCTCCAGAAACGAAACTCCACTCAGCCCTCACTGCTGTAGAATTGAACTTTGTAATAGAGAAGGTTTGAATGATAGCTAAATAAAAAAATAATACCGGTATACAATTAGAGAAACAATAATTTCTTACGTATTTCAGCAGTAACATATTCTCTATCAGTCCATTCTCCTGGTCCAATACTAGTATATGCTCTCACTCCAATAATATAACTAGTATTAGGTATCAATCCTACTATACTGTAATAAGTGTTAGTAGTGTTAGTTACATTGTATGGACCAGTACTGGTAGACTCTCTATATCTTATCTCATATACTGTAATGATACCATTAGGTATTGTAGGAGGATTCCATGTAATAATAATTTCAGTTGGTGGCCTTGAAAGTATTGGATTAGATATCACACCAGGAACTGTGTTAAGACCATGTTAAACTGATCAATATCTCATTGACTTACTTGATTCAGCAGTTAATTGTATTTCTTGTCTACCTGGTCCATTCATATTATAATTATAAGGTATTATACTCACAGTATAGTTAGTATATGGTATTAATCCAGTGAAATTATATATTCTGTTGTCTCCTCCAGTGATATTAACAGTATAACTAGTGTTTGAAGTGATGTTAGTGTATGTGAGGTAGTATCCAGTGATTGGTCCATTCCTTCCATTGCAAGGTACTTCATCCCATGAGACAGTCATTGACACTGACTCTACTGATGAGAATATAATATCACCCACTGGTGCAGTAGGGGCTAGAAGATTAATAATGAAATTGACAAGTAACTATCACTATCAATTATTATCGTACCAGTTGAAAGTGTTTCAGCTGAATAATCTGTAGTCAAATCAGCTGTAATGTCATATACTCCAATAAGATTAAAGCCACATTGACTGTAAGGAGGTATACCAGTTGAAGTATGTGGTGATGAAACTGATGTTTCACTAGTACCAGTTTTTGATGATTCACATATTCTCCTACAATTTCTAACAATGATATAACTAATTGGTATTATAGGGGTTGGTGGACTCCATGTTAATGTAATGGCAGAGGTTGTCATTAGAGTAGCCATAAAATCATTAACTACTGGATCACCTAAAATAATTATGTTATATCATATGGCTCCAAATGTTAATAGAAAATGACAAAAATTAATTTTAACAAGAAATTGAGATTTTTGACTGACAATAATTTGGAGCTATATATATATATATATATATGGTATGACTTATTCAATAACTTACTAAATATTATCATTACTGAAGCATTACCACTAGGTACAGAAGCTGATCTATAAGATACTACATAGAAAGTGTAGGTAAGCCCTTGAAACAATCCTGATGTTATATTGATTGTTGTTGAAGCAGTAGTGCCTACACTAACAGGAGTTAAAGTTGAGAATTGACTGTAGGCCTCATAACCAGTAGCTCCTGATACAGTAGACCAGGAGAGTCTTACATGAGCTAAACCAGTACTTAATCTTGTAGCAGTTAAACCAGTTGGAGTATCAGATACTGTATGAGAGAAAGATTGTAAATACATAATAAATAACAAACCTGGTAAACTCAATACTGTGCTACTACTTAAAGCCTGAACACCTCCAATATTACCATTAGTACCATCAGTTACTCTGTCATTAAATACAATACACTGATAGTTACCAGCTTCTCTCAGTCTCACTGTTACTCTCACTCTTGTAACAGATCCTGGTCCATTCACTATCACACGAGACAGTTCAGTAGATATTCCATTCCCATTCACTGAACAACTGACAGTAGTAGGAGGACCATCAGAGACATTGAAACTGAGACTGAAGACTGGAGGAGTAGCTAATCTACTAGTGGAGAGGAGAGAGAACTGCATGGTAGGATCAGCATCAGGACCATCTGTAAAAGAAGTACATTAATTATAGTCTATATTCATCACATACCATTGTTATTGTATCCAGTATCAGTATATGCTCCAACCACTAGTGTTTGATTCACTCCATTCTCATCAGGAATGATACACTTGTATAAACCTTCATATCCTGATAGTCCAGCACTTCTAGCTAGTGCAATCTGACCACTGAATCTCTTGGTGAACAATGGTTGAGGAACTCCTGATGAATCAGCAAAGTCTCCATTAAATAAAGGTACTTCAGTTCCATTAGGATAATACCACACTCCAAAAGTAGTAGCATTGTTAGCACTCTGACACCACAAAGCATCATTGATATCATTAACATCATTATTCTGATCAGTATTGTAAAACTGGCTAGCATATATCATAGAGTAATCAGGTATTATCCTGTCCTCATAAGCTAGGTACAGTCGAACACCTAGATATGAGTATATAGTCTAGTATTTGTTACCAAAATTTATTTCTTACCATTACTGGGTAGGATGGAAGGTGCTTGTCCAGATACAGTCATCAGTTGAACCAGTAGGAGCAATAGAAAACAAGACCTGCTTGAGAATGCCATTTTTCTTTTCAATGTAGATTCTATTGTTAAGCTAACAGAATCATGTGACCTTTCATGATCAGTTGTTGGCACAAAAGTGTATTTTACTATCTTAATTTAATAAAAATAATGAATATTGTTA